GGAGGGAGGGAGGGAGGGAGGGAGATGAAAAAGAAAAGAACTTCCTCTAACAACAAAAAATAAGGTAGCCAGGTGTCTCGGCTGGGGTTTCCATTGCTGTGAAGAGACACCATGACCAAAGCAACTCCTACAAAAGAAACATTTAATTGCAGATGGCCTACAGCTGAGGTTTCTGAGGTTCAGTCCATCATCATCATGTGTGTGAATCATGGCAGTGTGCAGGTAGACATAGAGCTGGAGAAGGAACTGGAAGTTCTATATCCAGATCAGCAGGCAGCAGAAAGAGAGAATGCCACATGGGGCTTGGCTTGAGCATCTGAGACCTCAAAGACCACCCCCAGTGACACACTTCCTCCAACAAGTACACATATACTCCAACAAGACCACACCTCCTAATAATGTCATTCCCTATGGGTCTATGGGGGTCATTTTCATTCAGACCACCACACTGGACATGGTGGTCCACACTTTTAATCCCAGAAGAAGCAAGCTGATGTCTGTGACAGTTTCTTCTAACTTGACTTAGAGATTTAATCCAATCTCAGTCAAGATCTCAGCAAGCTATTTTATAGATATGGACAAAGTGATTCTAAAGGTACAAGGGAAAACTCAAGAGCTAGGATAGCCAGTATACCACTAAAGAAGAGGAAGGCTGAAGGACTTATGCCATAGGACTTTAAGACTATATACTAAAGAAATCCAGATGGGGCTGGAGAGGTGGCTCAGCAGTTAGGAACACATAGTACTTTTCCAGAAGGACCCGAATTCAATTTCCAGCATCCACATCAAATGACTTGCAACTGCATATAAGGTTAATTTCAAAGGATCTGACACTTCTGGCTTCCATGGATAACCCCGCACAAATATACACATGATTAAAAGTAAAATAAATATTTTTTTAAAAAAAAGTATGAGATAATAAAATATTATACATCCAGATAATAACATATAATTCAGTGTTTTAAAAAAAGAGCTATCGATGCATGGTAAGGCATAGGGGAATCCTATATATGAATTAGTAGGTCAAATCCGACTGTCTGACATTCCAGAAAAACAAAGCTACAGAGATGGATGAGGGAGAGCACATGGCATTTTTAGGGCAATGAAAAATACTCCAAATGGTACTGTAATGGTGACTTTGCCTTACTATACATTCATGAAAACTCACATGTTGCAGGGTTGTATGAGAAAAAAACTGTTCCCTTAAATTTGCTATGAATCTCAATCTCTCTAACAAGGTACCCTTCCCAAGTTCCTGGTACAACCTTACCCACAGCCTGAACAACTGTTTGCACTGTTTTCTTCCTATAGATCAACAGCCATCTTGCCAACCTTTGAGCGTATGTACAAATCACTCTTCCCAAGGAGACTCGTGTCTGCCTTGATGGCACTACAACTACTGAGCTGAGGACAGTCCACTCACTTTTTAGGGACTTTTTAGCACAGTCTGTTTTCAATAGAGAACTTAAGGTTGACCAGGTTTGGTGGCATATGCCTTCAGTTTCAACACTCAGGAGGCAGAGGCAGGCAGGCCTGTTCTACATAGAATTCCATGTTAGACAGAACCCTATTCCAAAAACCCAATATACAGCTTCAGAAAATACAAAAAAAAAAAAAAAAAGAAAAAAGTATTTGGACAGTTTCCTTGAACCAATATCATGCTTCAAAGTTACAAGGTGCAGAGACACACAGACACACAGACACACACACACTTTGGAGGCAGAGGAACAAAAAAAATGTATTTGATAGTTCTTATATAATTTTTTACATTGTTCACTCTTGTCAATAATTCCTCCTGACTGTTTGCTTAAATCAAGTAGTCTCAGTGTAGGCTCAGGTCAGTTAGGTAAATGGGGTAGTGAGCATTGCCTCGGAAAACAAGAGAAGTTCCTGACAAGTCTCAGCTGCCTGCATCACTACCTAAGCGCTCCCTAGTCAGCACCAGCTTACTGGCGTATTCACGGCCAGCACAAAGCTCAGTGGTAGCATCCCTAGCAAATGCAAGGCCCTGAATTTAATCTCTGGTACAAGAGAGGGAGGGAAGAGAGGAGGGAAGAGACAAAGAAGAGAGAAGTAAATAGAAAGAAATGCAAGTGGCCCCTGAAAACTTGCCTGTGCTACGAGGTAAGAGAGAAACCAGCAAGGTCATACACACTATCCACACCACAGTCCCCACACATCCTGGAGCTCCTCGTGCCCCTCTGACCACTCACTAGTTCTCACCTTAAGCAGTTAGCAATTCTTACCATGGCATTTAGCTGAGAGTTGCTTGCCTGTGTGATACCAAGAATGTTGGTAGTATGCATCACTTCAACTGAAAAACTTGGCAGCCAGCTTGCAATCCGGGACCCTAAGACAAACCAGAGTCCAATACAAGAATTAGTTAGTGCCCTGGTCCCTGCCCTAGTGTCATCTGTGTATCCAACCACTCTACTAACCGTTGCTATTCACTGAGAGCCTTCTTTATGCCAGGCCTTTTTTTGCCAAATGTTTTCTCCAAATAAGTTCATTCTATCCTTACTAAAACCTACATGTGCTTTCCATTTCTCTCAGAGATATGATTCTGGCCCCAACCTTGGCCTTTGGCCCCCACAGCACTGAGAAGTTAGGGAACACATTCAAGATCACACTGGTTAATGACATGGCAGGATGTCACCTGCAATCCCTTCTCTCATTAAGGGTTCCCACGACTCTGGACCTGCTATAACAGCTCAGTTTCACTCCTCTCTCACAACCAGCAGAATTACTCCACATGTGGGTGAGTCATTTTCATGATTACCTTCATGAAGAACTTCATGCTTAATATAATTGAAAGCTTTAACCTTGGTCTGGGCATTGTGGTGTATGCCTTTTTAAAAATAAGTATATGGTGTTTTGCCTCCCTGTACACACTGGGTAAGCAGTACCTACCCAGAGGAGGGTGTTCGATCACCTGAGACTTACAGATGGTGGTAAGCCACCATATGGATGCTATGAATCAAACCCAAGGCCTCTGGGCCAACAGTCAGTTCTCTTACCCATTCAGGAGAGGTACACACCTCCATTCCCTAGTACACACCATTACTCCCATCATTTGGGAGACAGAGGCAGAAGGATCTCTGTGAATTCAAGCTCAGCCTGGTCAACACAGTGAACCCCAAGCCAGCAAGAGCTACACAATGAAACAATGCCTTGGGTTGTGTGTGGGGGGTTACCTTAGTTTTCAGATTAAAAATTCTTTTTCAAAGAGTTCTTCAATATATTGTGGAGTGATATAATCACTTGTAGTTGTTGTTTCTGTTATTTTAGGATCAAAATACAAAGCCGCCATGTGCCAACTACAAAACAATTCATTATCAAGCTTCATATGTAGGGTTCTATCGCTTTACAACCAAGTAGCAGCATGGGATACAAGGGGTCTTGCCAAATAAAATGTACTTAGAATAAAATGGATTTTTTTTCAAGAGCACACAAGGACAAAGTGACAGACTACAATTGTAGTAATAGCAATTATAAAAAACCAGGCTCCATCTCCAAGATCTGCTAATACATTTCAGAAGCTGTACCTAGTAAGCCAAGTCTGGCGGTGCAGGTCTGTAATCCTAGCTACTTGGGAGGCTGAGACAAGACAATTAACAAGTGAAAAGCCAGCCTGAGAAACATCCTGTTTTGTTTCTCAAACAGAAAACAGAAAAGGGCTCCCTGGTAAGGGGCTTGACTAACAGGGTGAGGCCCACTTGAGAGAGTTCAACCCAGCACTGAGAGAGAACAAACTTGTGCTTGGTTGTAAGGAATCTCTTATGTCTGTTTGGAAGCTTTGCCTGTCAAATAAAGCTTTGGCTGTAGCTGAGGCAGGAAATTTGGTGGGAATCAAGGATTCTGGGACAGAGCCAGGCATGGAGGATTCGTCCCAAGAACATGGGAAGGGTAGAAGCGTGAGAGAGGAACAGAGGTAACCAGCCACATGGCACAGCTTAGCATATATTAATGGGATGATTCATATGTGAACCAGCCGGGGAACAGCCAAAGCTTATGGCCACAGTATGTATAAATACAATTTGAGTCTCAGAGTCCTTATTCCAAGAGCTTGGGGCTGAGAGGGAAAAAAAAAAAAAAAACACTTTTACACTTGGTACAGTTCTCTTTATGAGTCAGGGTCTCACTATGTAACCTTGACTGGTCTAGAACTCTCTGTGTAGACCAGGCTGGCCTACAACTCACAGAGCTCTGCCTGTCTCTGCCTCCCATGTACTGGGAATAGAGGTCTGTGCTCTACTACTTTTGTTAATAACAGAACCAAACCAGCTCCATGAAGCCCCCTTCAGACACTGGCCTCTACTCCGCTGGAGCCTTTCAGGACTGTACCAATACTCTTACCATATTTCACCCCCAGAGACTTAACTTAAATCAGAGTCTGAACAGCACCTCTCCTGAGAAAATTCCAGAGCGGGAATTCACACAACACACGGCACTGGAATTGATGGGCTCAATTTCCAGTGGGTGTTGTGATTCAAGGAAAGATAACCAGCCCCCCATACAGTACCCATGACTTTAGAATCCAAGCTGCAGGAACAGCCATGCTTTATGAATAAAGCAACAGGGCTCCAGTTCAGATTCCACCTCTGGTACTCCCTGAGAAGACAACTCATGGGACCTTTATTATATGGTTATATAACACACCAGTACAACCAATTTTTAGCAAAGGCTAATTACTAAACTGGTTATGAGGATTCCTTGAAGGCACACTTAATTCAGTTTTACTACTTCCACCACCTCCTTTTTTTTTTTTTTTTTTCTAAGACAGGGTTTCTGTGTAGCTCTGGCTGTCCTGAAAATCACTCCAGAGACAGGCTGGCCTCAAACTCATGAAGATCCACCTGCCTCTGCCTCCCAAGAGCTGGGATTAAAAGCGTGTGCCACCAACTACGTCACCTCACTTATTAATGGCACAGAATAACCCCTCGGTTTCACCTACTCAGCTATCCACCAGAACACTTCTGAAACTGAGAATAAGGCAGACAGATGGCTACATGCCTGTAAATGTAACTCTAGGGAGACTAAGGCACAACAACCCTATTCAAGGCCAGACTGGGATACACAGAAAAAAAACCGTATTAAAACTAAATAAAGGAAGTTAAAATGTAATACTGAGGCTGGCAAGATAACCCATCAAATGGAGGTTCTTGATGCTGACAAGGCAGTTAGTCCCCAGAATCCATGATACAAGAATAGACCAACATTCACAAAATGCCCTCTGACCGCCACAGAAATATCACGTAGTATATGTATACATGTACTATGAACATAACCATCCAGAATAAATGAATTTAGTAAAAGGAAGTAAAAAGTTTTTTTTAAGTACTAGTAAACTTGTCTATCCAGAGCAGCTTACAATCCAAACAACATCACTTTAGGAGAGTTGTGGAAGCTGGAGCCACTTTACCATCGAAGTGGAAGAAGTGATTGTGCTGGTTCAAGCGAGGCCTGCCTTCTGCAGCTGCTACAGGAACCAAGTTCTCATCCAAGTTCTCTCCCTGATGGTCTTCCCTGGCACGACTGCCATCGGCAATATTAAGAGACATTCTACATGTTGGACAAGAGGTGTCTTGTTCTAGCCAAGAACGAAGGCAGGAGCTATCAAAGAGTTCAAAGGAAGAGATAGAACATATTCAATTGCTCTTCAGCATATTTTGTGAGAAATCACCAGAATTACTGTTTTCTCATTTCACTTGACTTTTATTTACCGCTAGCCAGATATAAATGCTGACAAATACTTGTGGCTACCTGCCTCTACTGCACAGACATCTACCATATCTCCTGGTTACAGTCCCTCCTCCATCACTTCATGGCCTGGCTTCTCATCTTGAACTCCATTCAGCAACTTCAGAATCCATGTGGCTCACTCACCCAGCATTCTGCCTCTTCCGTCCTTTAGTGCTCTACTTAAGTGATCTTTCTTTTTACTACCAGAGCCACTGACCAACATGGCCTTTTCTTCAAAACACTGACTCTGTAGATCTAATTCACTCCTCTCGCTTTCCACCCCTCACTTAAAAATCCTTCAATGGTATCCTGCCCATCCATTGGCCCTCCAGCCTCTGCCTACATGTCCTCTCTTGGCAGACACACTCCTTCCTCTTCCATGAGTCTCACATGCTGGCTTCTATCTGGTTCCATCAACACACCAACGCTGCCCTCTGCTGGAGCTGCTCCTTGTGCCTCCGACTTTGCACCCTCCCGGACCTGTTCTTCCTTTGAAGATCTCACTTCTACTAAAAGTCACTTCCTCCTAATCTGGATCAGATTCATTTGTTACTACTCTTCAGCTCCTCTCTCTCTCTCTCTCTCTCTCTCTCTCTCTCTCTCTCTCTCTCTCTC